GAAGGGAGGAAGGGGGAGGGAGGAAGGGAGGAAGGGGGAGGGAGGAAGGGAGGAAGGGAGGAAGGGGGGAGGGAGGAAGGGGGGAGGGAGGAAGGGGGGAGGGAGGGAGGAAGGGGGAGGGAGGAAGGAGGAAGAGGGAGGAAGGGAGAAAGAAAAAAATTAACAAGAAAAACCCAAAACACTGACAAAGTAGAAACAAAGATGCTGTTCCACAAAATCTTCTGCAGGTTGAGCTTTTCTAGCTTCTTGGATTCTCTCTTCAGTTACATTTACACTAACAATTTTCCAAAATGCATTCATTAGAAATAGAGGCATTATTCCCAATGTGGTCTTACCAGTAGTTATATTATTATGTTTTCATGATACAAATTTATTAATGCAGGCCCTGCTCACCTAATAGTTTAAGGAATGTCAATGCCTGCTCTCCTAAACCTCTACTTAAGTTTCACAATCTTCCTTTTGAGAATGGGTTCTTAGTGATATTTCTTGAGCATAAGGACAACACTCAGTTCAATTCAATAGAACTTACTTAATTACCAAACACTGCATTAGAAGAAGTTTTTGTCCTCTAAGAAAAAGATTTCTACACACACAATTCCAATCAGTATTGTCGGTCCCATGACAGAGATATACCCAAAGAGCTTCATAAGGAGAGTTGAGAAGGTAGAAGGGAATGGGTATTCAAAGGACATTCTGAAATATAATTTTCACTTCCTTTTTTCTCAAATAGCACAAAGAGTTTCTTATGTTAATAAACTCTATTGGAAGAAAAAGAAGATATGATGTGAAGAAATGAGCAGTCTACAATTGACCACCTAACTGAATGTTGTTAAACAATGTATAACTGATGGCCATCTTAAACCAGAACAAAAATATTCTTAATTAATTCATCTCTCTCACACTGACAGTATCATACTATCTATATATCTTTCTCACTCTGTCTAGAAACTGTATGAGTTTGTAAATGGGATTTAAAAGTAATCAGAATCTACATAATGTCCCTCATGTGTATTTATTTGGCATTTACAGAGAGCTCTGTGTGTGTGTGTCTATATATATATATATATATATATATATATCTCATACAGTGTGGTGTGTATATATATGTATAATATACATATACTTACTAATTTGTGCAGTGGTCCAGAATTGCTTTGGTGGCTTTTATTACAATCTCCTAGAAAAGTAGGCCCACATATACAGAATTCTACAACAAAAAAATTCATGGGGAGTTGCAGAACACAGGCAGTTTGGTACTTTTGTCTACAAAGCTATCTTTGACCTTTAAGAAATTCACTGAAGTTATTCTTACTTTGCTCATTTACCATAGCTCAATACAATTTCTTTCTTGGAATCAACTATTTTGAACTACTGTTGGCTTTTGGCCTCCTGTCATAATATGAATTTTCTCAACTTTTTCTCCTGAAACTTAAGAAAAGAGTATCAAACCAAAGATTTTCTTAGATGCAGTATATTTAAGTCTTGGCATTGACTGCCACTTAAATTCACATTGAGCTTTTCTTCTGGAAACCTCAAAGTCTGCAAATCTCATATGACCTCAGAATATTCTGTGGGAAGGAGGAGGCTGGGCATGCTTAGTGGACAGTGGTCATGCTTCGTGGACAGTGGTCATGCTTAGTGGACAGTGGTCATTGTCATCACAACCCCTGAGAGCTCAATGTGCTTCACACAGGGCACCAGGACCAGGGCAAAAAATAAAACATTAAAGGAAAAACCTAGGTTAATTATATTCACATGATGAAGGATAATCTTAATTTATTCGATCTGTTTCAGACAGAGGCAAATTAAAATGTGCTTAGCCTCTAAAATATCAACACTAAATTATGGCAACTTTTTTATCTTTCTTTGAGAGAAAATTTTAAAAGAATAGAAACTAAATTTGCTCTGCAACCCAGTTACCTTTACACAAAATCATGTCAGTTGTAGCCAATTGCCAAGATCTTCTATGATAGATGATGTCTACAAGTTTTAATTTTTTTACCTTAACATTTTTTAATCAATGCTTTTGCTTTCCTTTAGGGTATGTTGAAAAATACATTTTGAGTGATGTATATACTGACTGTGATTCCATTTACAGCAAAACAATGAAAGCAGTTGGTGTTGTGATGGTGTTAATATATTCATGCAATATATTGTTAGACATATGGGGATCCAGGTTTTTTCTGTGCTTGTAGAATTGAAAAGGAAACTTCTAGACATGCATTTTACGTACATAAGATACAGTGTTCAAACAGGGACAATGCACAAGAACATCAGTATTGTCAGCTACGTGCTGTCAGCAAAGATGAGATTTTACTGCATGGTATTTTAGACTGCATTATATTGTCCCATGGGCATTCCAAAAAAAGTAGCAGGTAAAAAATCAGGAGCATTCAAATGAAATGATACTCAAGGGATGAAGAGTGTTTTCTTCCCCCTCAAATTGTCGCTATTGACAGAGTTGACTTCACTTTGCCATTGAACTATGACAAGGTGATTATTTTTAAAAACCAAAATATGGTGCATAATACATTTTAGCCTGAAGCTAAAAGTTAAGTGTGAATATTCATTCATTTTTACTCTTCCTTGGGAAAAAAAAATGTGGCTGGAGTAGCAAATAAAGTTTTAAGGTATATCAATTGCACAGAGTTAATGAATGATACTTAAATAAAATCATTTTTAACAAAGGGGATTTTTTTTAAAATGTCTTGACACTCAGATTTTGTTAAGAAGAAGGAGAAATTAGTTTTTTATTCACAGTCTCCTGAATATCAACATGAGGAAAAGTTAACAAATTTAAATATAGTGAAGTAATTTGTCTCCACAAACAGAAGACACACACGCTCACACAAAATTGACAAATCTAAGTGTACTCTGTCAGCAAGTACACTCCATAGGGCCAGAAATTTGTGCTCAGAAAGATCAATCTTACAGTAGTTTTAAGTGCTGGCTATGTAACATCCTCTTTCAAATAGAATGAATGTAGTGTCTCTTTGTTTCAATTCTGCAAGTGGCCAGAGTTACAATCAGCGTCATGACTTGGCCAAGGTCAGGCAGTAAGTCAGTAGGTAAGCCCACCTCCCTTTGCCTACATTGTAATAAGTTAGGAGTAAGGCCTGGCTTCAAAGACTGCATATAGTTTTAAATGCAAGTGTTTTTTTCAAGAACAGTTAATTCAGAATTCAGAAGGTTGATCTGGTCAATTTTTTCTCAGCTAGGCCCACAAAGACCTACTAAACTTGTTTATTCAGAATTTGTATTTAATCTAGTATCTTAGTTAAAAATACATTTTCATTTAATAACTTTTCTATACATGTCTACAGATACAAGCCCACAAACCTTGGATAATAAAAATTCTATTCATTTGTCTTTTACAATTTTATCTACTTGGGTAAATAGAGCAAAATTCCTTTCCTTTTAAATGCTAGCAAGGAAAAATAAAGTCAGATAGGCAATAAGGAATTCTTTACTTCAATCCAGATAACAAAATTATAACATCAGGTTTCATTTTCAAAATTCTTCCTTTAAGTGTCAAGATATAATATATCTTTTCTCATGGACACTTCAAATATTAATTCTTGTCTCATTTTCAGTCACAGGACAGTGACTCTGCTACTAAAGTCTATCTTCTTTCACTTCTGGTCATAAAATGAGCTTCATGATATTATTTTACATTCACAAAGAATAAAAGTCATAGCAAAGTTCTTACCTTTATATAAATAACTGAAGTGAATTGTAAATCAATTCTATTTTGGGGGTTAACATTACTTATTTTGATATAATGTCTTATATAAAATATCAGAAACAAACAAAAAATCTACTTTAATGCAATATGAAAATTCACAAATTTAAGCGATATTTGTTGACTCCTTCATGGAGTGTTTTCAAAATTTTACCCGACGGATTTATCTTCTTATAATACTACCAAAAAGCAATTAGCTTGCTGCATATAGTCAAATACAACCCAGAGGGAAAGAAAAGTCAACATTTTGGATGCTAGTTATGTTTGACAAATACGTTTTAAGATTATTTAATCCTCAATAAATTCAAGTTTACATAAATAATACCAGAATTAAGTTAAAGTTTTTCTTTCTTTCCTTTTTGAAAAAAATCTTAAAGATTGAAATAAGGCTAGAGAAAAATCTTAAAGGATTTCAGAATAAAGTGGATTGCTAAGAACTTTCGTGGTATCAATTTACAAGCATCTAATCTTCCAACTATAAACAGTTATGATATGACCTGGGATTGAGGCAAGACCACTTTATACCATAAGGCATACTGTGTCCAATGGAGAAAAGCCAGGACTTAACCATAAAGGAAAATATTTATAAAGTTGATCATGCAAAAATCAACAATCTGTGCTTAAAGAAAAATAAAGCCAAATGACAACTTGAGAAAAAAATTCATGTTATAAAAAATAACAAATTTTCCTAATACATAAATTGATCTTTCAAAGTGATAAGAAAAACCAAAATGGGCAAAAGATTCAATAGTAGAAAACATGTTATTTTGCTCATAGCCGCGGAAATGCAAATTAAAACTATACTGAGATTACATTTTTACTTTACCAATTTAATTAAGATTAAGAATTTGGTAACATACTGATTTGGCAAGTGGACAGAAAACAAAGCGATCTTTTACTCAAATGATAGCAGCGAAAATCGTTGAAACCTAGATGAAATGCATTTTGGCAATATGTATCAAAATGTAAATCTCATCATTCTTTAGGTTAAATCCTAGCTATTAGGATTTAACCTAAAGATATAAATTTTATCACATTCAAATAACATACAAGTATATTTATGTCAGAGAATATTTTCTAATAGCGAAGAGGAAGCAACCTAAGTACTCACCAACTGACAACCAATTACTGAAATTATATCCAGAAAATGCAATACAATTAAGCTATAAACAAAAATGAGGAAATTTTTTGCATATTAATATAGAAATAAATGAAAATTGTATTATTAGAGGGAAAAAGCAAGACACACAACTGTGTAATATGCCAGCTTTTGTGTTATAGAAATGCAATATATATATATATATATATTTATATTTTATTGTAAATACTTATATATGTCCATGTGTCTCTAGATGGATAACAAATAAAATAATAACAGGTGTCCTAAGGGAGGGCAACTGCATGACTAGGGGAGGGGCAGAAAGGAGACTCCATGGGGATTCTGCTATGTTCTAAAATAGCATTTAGAGGCACAATTTAAGGAATTTATAACAGAACAAAGAGTTTTTCTGTTTTAAATCCACCGACATACTAGAAATCTCAGGACTTGTGCTTTCTAAAGTAAATAGGTCATGGCATTTCTCAAGAGACAAAGTTCTCACAATGGTCTTTTTTTTTTTTTTTTAACTGTAGCTTTAAATAGAACATAGAACACAGAGGTTTCATCAGCTGGCCTGTAAATCACCTAGATGAGCTTCACATCGTCATGTGCCTACAAAAAGACACCACAGGAAGAAGCAGACAAGGCTGATAGCAAACTACAAAAAATTAACACTTTAAGATGAATGACTGAGTCATCAACAGTAAAGCAAAAGCACATTTATTATTTGGAGTAAAGTTTACAGATTTCTCTAATACAGCCACATTTCCTTGCTAAGGCATCCATGTGTAAAAACATTATACAACCTCAAAATGGCCACTGGAGTAAAATTTGGGATAGAAAATAAAGCAAATCTAGCAGGTTTATATGGGGAAAAAACTAATTAGATTGATTTTATTAGTATGAACCTCTGACTAAGCGAGATAATTTAGCTCCAAATTATATTTAAAAATGCAGAGTCAGGTTGACCATGTTGTAGGATAAAATACAAATAACTATTCGGAAAATTAATGAATCTTGCTTGAAACATAATACTCTTTAAAAAAGACTAAAATTCAAGGCAAGCTTTACCATTCAGCGTGCAAAAGAAAAAAAAGTATCTCTCTGTATCTCAATACAAAGAAGATAAGTACTGTTTTATACACTTTGCAAAAATAGTCTTTTCAAAGCATCCTGAGCAAATAGAACAAGGATGGTGGCATCATATTACCTGACTTGAAAGTATATTACAAACTTAGAGGAACCAAAACAGCATGGTACTGGTATTAAACCAGATGTATAAACTGATGGAACAGAATACAGAACGTAGAAATAAATCCACACATTTACAGCCAAATCATTTTTAACAAAGGTGCCAAATAACACA